AGCATCGAAAACCACGGTTGTTTATTGTTTTTGCTCCATTTCTTCTTCTTCTTCTTCTGTTCCAAACACCAACGTCTGACCTGGCCAATGGCCTCTTTTGTTGACGTCTGTCACCATAGTAACTGGTGTTGGGTTACATAAGTTGCAATTTCATAGTAGGCATTTAGACTCCTGTCACCATATACATGTATGTGAATGCGTTTGAGAAAGAATTGACAGAGCAGACCATATCCGAGGGTAAACATAATATGCATTTGCCTTTTCTAGTTGTTTATTGCTTATTGAGAAATTAAAACCCTTTGCAGCCTCACAGCTGAATTATGAGATTTGTACATAAAAGTCGAGAGCATGTTACACTCGTTAATAATTCATTACATAACTACATTTTAAGATCATGATAATGGAGTGCGCAATAGTCTACATTTTTAAACATTTGTCTACTATATATAATTAATCTACTTTAGGATGAAATTAAAACTATAAAATGTATTTTGAAGCTGCGACACTTAGCGAATTAGAATTATTCTAAAGAAAGGGTCTTATAAAACAGGTTGGGACCTGGCGGACGTAGCTAGCTTCCTCCTAGAAACGTCCTCGGTTGACCCGTACGAATGGACATACGTGACCAACTCTGACTCCGTTCAAATCGCCACAATCTTCAGTCAGTACTTCCAGTTCAGGGGGACGGGGCGGTATTGGAAGATCACTGTTTGGACTGCCGACGGATGGAACGTCTGGTTCCACGACGTCTGCTTCTACGGACACGCAGGTTGGTAGGGTCCATGTATGATTTTTGACATTAAACCAGGTGGACTAGCTTTGCAAGTGATGTTACAAAGAAAAGCACTGAGGCGGCTTCTTCTAGAACCTAAATGACCTTAAAGTAAATATGATACTAGCATGGTAAAATTCACCTGACAAATATATGTATTGTATACCGGATAGTGTGTGAGTGAGTGAGTGTGTGAGTGAGTGAGTGAGCAAAAGTGAGTGAGAGAGAGAGAGAGTGAGTGAGAGCATCATTGTATGTTGTGTATGGGAGGGCAACTTGTAAATGTGTAGCAAGTCAATCATTTGCCCTGTGTGCCCTCCCTTCCACTTGTATACTTGTGAAGAATAATAAACAAATGACTGGTGAAACAAAGATATTTTCCCAACTTGTCTCGTGCAGTCTCGCGCGTGCCCTGCCCACATTTGCACACGGACTGTGAGTGAGTGAGTGAGTGAGTGAGTGAGTGAGTGAGTGAGTGAGTGAGTGAGTGAGTGAGCGAGCGAGCGAGTGAGTGAGTGAGTGAGTATCATTGTATGTAGTGTCTGAGAGGGCAACTTGTACATGTGTATCAAGTCAACCACTTGCTGTACACCTGTTTTTCCTCCCTTCCACTTGCTATATACTCATGAAGAATAATAAACAAATGACTATTTTCCCAACTTGTACCGTGCAGTCTCGCCCGTGCCCTGCCCACAGTTGAACACGGACTGTGCCCTGGACGGGAGCCCGCAGGTTGTGACGAGTGAGGTGGCGACGGGACAACCCTGCCACGTGTCCGTGGACATTCACGAGGGCGTCCGCAGGTGAGGTTCTGTAACATAACGTAAAATAACATAGCATAGCATAGCATAGCATAGCATAACATAGCATAGCATAGCATAGCATAGCATAGCATAGCATAGCATAACATAGCATAGCATAGCATAGCATAACGTAACGTAACGTAACGTAACGTAACGTAACATAACATAACATAACATAACAATAACTATTGTAATGCATTGCAGTAAGGATAACCCTCTCCAAGTGTCGCGTAGTGCTGAGCTGACTCTTCATGGTCTGGCGTCATTCAACTGTGATGGCCCTTATGAGGTAGGTGCAGGATGGTTCAATGCTGTAGCATTCTTAACACTCCTTAGAATTTGCAGAATTAAAGATGGAGTTTTGTTTTCGATAAACTCCAAGTGGTGAGCACTACATCTCCAGTATCTTGGTCAATGAATAAGCAATCCACCACTCCTATGGCATCACATTATTCAGACGACACAAGTGGCTTAGTGAGTAGTGGATCACGTGTTGCAGAACGTCTGTGGTGACCCCCGTCTTTGTTGAGGGATGGTTGCAATGCCCAACTGTAGACGGCCTCTTTATTACCCCATATGTTGGTAATTACAGTTCAAACTTGCTTCATAATGACTTCTACCGACACAGAAAAACTTTCGAGATAAACTTACTTCGTCTTAACCAACATGTGCATTTTGAAAACAGGCGTCCGCAATATGGATCATGCCCGGGAACGACGACTTCACGGATGTGCAGCTTGACTTGCTACCGGACCTGACAGACGTCTATCCTGACCGGCTTCACCTCGTGCTGCCGGCAAAAACCATGCCGCTGGGGACCTTCCTGTTGCAGGTATATCTTCTGAATTGATACAAACCAAGTCGAGCAGCTGGATACATTCTCTGGAACGTCAGACGTTTCAGGTAGCATCCACTGACTTTCAGAGAATTTATCCAGTTCTTTGATTTTTTTGTACTGTGTAATTTTCTACCTGGATGTCTAACCTTCAACCAGATTCTTCTTCCGAATTTCAAGTACTATTTCTACTCTTTTTGTCCCCTTTTTCTTAGCTTTTTATTTGGAAATGGCGAGACGGCAGCCGGTGTACACTTTTAATGTTACACTGACCAATTTCTGACCTCACGTGTCCCATTAGGTACTTGAATTATGAGATAAAAGACATTAGCACAGTTAAATTATCTACTGATACAAAATTCTTTTTCAAGATAGAAAAATGTTTGAGAACATCATTACATTTTGCCTCAAGTATGATTTAGCCACTGTTTTCTCACAGCTTAAAGTGACCATGGTGGCAACAGGCAGCTCCCACGTGAGTGTGGGTGTCGCGCAGACGTACGTGAGTTTCGGCTGGCTCCCCATCGCCCCTACCCTCGGCAGCGCCGCCCGGACTGTGGACGATGGGGACTTCTGGGTGAACGCGGACCAGTCGTGGGACCCTGACGGCCTCATACCCAGCAGCGATTTTACCTACACCTGGACATGCGACATTGTGTACATCCCGGACCCAACACGTGAGACTTCTTCAAAGTTTCTGATACAAAACATAAAACACTGATAAACCTTACATGTTTTCAAGATGAATGCACTACTTTATATTTAGCACCTTTAATTTGTGTAATGATTGAAATATATAAAATGTCTACATCTACGTGTGCACCTGGTCGTGTGTACTTTTCAAGACCCGACACGCGAGATTTCTTTAAAATTGCTGATAAAAAACATGTAGCAAAACCATATGTGCTCATGACAGCTCTTCTTTATATATCTATTGACATTTACCACACATGTGAAATGATACGACTACCACCTTTTCAAGAGGTGAAGTTGTCAAACCTGAGACCAGTTTGTGAGGTTCGAACCGCTCACACTGGGAAGGGCCCCTTGTATTACAATGCTTCTGCGATGGAGGTTTTGTTTTTATAAGTTTCATACATCGCTAACAAACGCCCTTTTGTGGTATATCGTGATTCTGTCACCTGTTTTACAGCTCTGGAGTGTATCGACGTCCTGGAAAACATCCTGATCCATGGCAGCTCCCGCTACAAGGTTTACACCAACTCCGAAACGGCTTCAAACGCGGAGGACGAATGCGGCAAGGAATCCGGCCATCTGGCGTCTCCAACTGACCAAGCTGAGTGGGAGGCAATCTTGCATCTCAACGACTGCGTTGGTGGTAAGAGACAATTTGTTTCTCAAAATGCCCCTTAGAAAAAACAGTACATGGCCAATGACGTTAATGCTTAGGCTAGCAGACACAGGATCGGGAGATCACGGGTTCGATTCCAAGCATTATTGCTATATTCTGTGTCTTTGTAAAGGCCCTTCACACATGCATCTGACTTTAGGTTTGGAGGCAAACGGAAATGGAGGGACTCCGACTTCTAATGCCATGCCCAAGACTCAGTCAATAGACATACTGTCCATAAGGTCTAAAAAATACTTAACTTTGAAATTTGCCTTTTAGTAAGCAAAAAATCAATGCACTAATTGTGTTAATAGCTGATTGTCATTTATTTATTTATTTCTGTCATCTTTATACAGGGTGGCCCAATAAGTGATTACACTTCTTTTCAATGGGGCCCTGTTTTACACAACACAACAAAACACAACTGTCACATACAAACAGTAAAATAGGGATACAATAAAAATGATAATGGCAATAATAATAAAGAAAAAACAGTAACTAACCAATAATATTGATAAATAATGATAATAACAAAAAGTACAAATTGTCATTTGCCACGTACTCGACTAGAGCATTCTCTTTGCACAATTGCCACGTACATCAATATTGATTTTTTTTTTACAGGTGGAGGAACTCGAACCATAGGAGTCATGGATACCGACGGTGATGGCCAGTGGTCTCTTCCGGACGGCACCCAGGTCACGTGGTCTGCTTGGGCACCTGGGTACCCGTCAGCCCCCACGGCTGACGCCTGCGCACAAGTCACATCCAGTGGCTGGTCAGACGATGTCAGCTGCAGCACACAGAATGAGTTCATCTGTGAACTGCCAATCAGTAAGACAAACTTCGAAATGATTTTATGTTACATAATGATGGAAAAGAAATCGTCATCTTTCTTTAAATTGGTTCTTCTCATACCTTCCTTTATCTGTCTATTAAACTTAATCCAATGATAATAATGTTTATTGCAAATTCCTCCTAGAAGGTTAATTGCAAATACAAGTAATTATGGACAATATAACATTAAAACAGATACCAAAATAAGTACAAAATCTGCCTAATAAAAGGTAATTGTCTGAAACTATATCTGAAGCTGTATCTGAAGGGTTTGACCTCTCTTTCGTAAACCATGAAAGACATTGTGTCCCACCTTTCCCAAAAGTTGTGGGTTTTGGGTAATTTGGCAATCTGTTCAGACTGCTCCTGAACGTCAGCCAAGTAGATATGTGACAGAGGCTTTAGGGATGTGTTTCTTTCATATCGTTCACAGGGGATGACTGCATGGTGTCTCCAGAACGCTACAGAGGAGCAGTGAATTATACCATAGAAGGACGGGACTGCCAGGCGTATGTACATGTATTTGTATTCAAAATGAGTATTTCAGACAAGTAGTAGAGGTTGTTGTTTAAAAAAAATCAGAATTTTGCAACAAAAAGAATTGCAGTACAAGAAATTTGACAACGGTGTTGAATTCCAAAATGTGATCCATTCCAAAACATGATTTGGAACACTACGAAATGGGCTGCATCTGCATTCCTAGCCTAAACGTGTTCCATTTCAAAACATGTCTGGGAATAAAACGTTTTAGAATGCAACAAAGACAATTACTCTAATGTTGAAAAATCTTCCATGTCCTTTGACAGGTGGGGTTCGGCCTCCCCGCATCTCCAGACTTTGGCATATTACACTTCAGTCCAAGAGGAGCCTGCAGTCGGGAACAAGTGCAGGGACCCGTCCGGAGATGGCGTCTGGTGCTACACCATGGACGCGGGCAAGAGATGGGAAAACTGCCCTGTGCCCTATTGTGGTCAGTTAGAACTCAATTCAAGTTCAAGTATATTTATTTTACCAGGGCATATCTCAGATCTGTGGATCTGTTTTTTCAGATATCCCTGGGCACACACATTTAAAAATACATTCATGAAAATTACAGTACAGTAATATACAAATAATTTTACAAGTACATGAACAGCTTATAGGCCCAATCAAAGTGGTCACATTATGCACTTAGTTCAATCAGTTTCTCACACTTATGTTTCAGATTGTAAGGGTGTCTATTGCAGTTGTTTCTTGATTCTTGATAAGATAAAAAGACTAATAAATGGCTAACAGATGCAAACACATAGAGACCGATCTCACGATCCACACATACAAACACCAAAGAAAGCTCACACACACACACACACACACACACACACACACACATACACACACATACACACACACACACACACACACACACACACACACAAACACACACACACACAAACACAAAGAGAGAGATAGAGGGAGAGAGAGGGAGAGAGAGGGGGAGAGAGAGTGATATATTTAAAGAAAGAAGAGGGGGTTAGGAGAGACATAGTAAGATAAATAGTATATATAGATAAATATATATTGATAGATACATAAAGATATAGTATATATATAGTTAGACAGATAGTTATAGATGAGTACAAGACGCACATACATACATATATGTGCATAATTTCAATACATCATCGTTCAGGATACATACACAAACAGCCCAATGCATGCATATTTTCCAAGTCGCGACAACCTGTTCTCTTCACCACGTAGCGCACAAAATCGGGCTGCTGGCCTGTGGCAACATCCTGGGCGTCCAGGACTCTGCCGACGCCGATCCAGACGCAGGACGGCTGCACATTGTCGGGAAATCTGACCGCCAAGTGGGCGCCATCATCAAGATCAGCGTGGCGATAGAAGCCGAGGGACGGCCTACAAAATACAGCTTCGTCAACATTCACGTCGGGACTTCTTCTCTCGACCTGTCGTAAGCTTTATTTGGTGCTACTTTCCTGTTGTGTATCTGGTTGTTAGGCATGCTTTCTTACTTATCAACAAATTCTTGTTGTCCCTGCTGCATTCCCAAACACGTTGGAATGGACCACGTTTTGGAATACAGCATAACTTGCAATCAATCAATCAATCAACCAACCAACAAATCAACCAATCAACCAATCAATCAATCAATCAATCAATTGATCAATCAACCAATCAATCAATAAATATCCTTTATTTTGACTGTCGAGCAAATTGTATTATTCCAAAATATATAACTCACTGTTCCGTACAATTGTTTCTTACCACCATGTACGGAAATTTTGTTTTCGATGTGTGTACCATGTGTGTGATAGTGGAATATGCACAGAATGAGTAAAACAATAAATTCTCAGAGGTGTAAAATTTTGATTTCGTGTTCCAGATGCAAGAGGAACTGTAACCCTGACAGCCACGTGATTTCGGAGGAGCTGCATCTTGAGTCAGACGGTAACTCAGACGGGAACGGGTACTGGACACTTGTGGAATCTCCAGACGACTTTCCCGGACTGGACTGGAGTCTGGACGTGTCGCGGGTCACTGGCAACGAAGTTAAAGTCCGCCCAGACGTCTTCTGGGTACGTTTTGGGCGGTGTTGATTCCTTTATATTTGTCTATTTGTCCGTCTTGTTTTTGGCACGACACCTACACGGTTATTGCTGAAGTCACATTTCCAACCGGGGCCCGACCGGGCTGTAATTACGAAAAATCAACTTATATCAATAGTATACGCAAATAGTTCCCATTATTAATTTTTTCCACTTTTTTATGCTTTGTTGTTTTTATAGCATACTTTTCGTTCCATAAGACTGTCCCCGGTTTGGAAATGTGACCTCAGCATATCCCAAGAACGCGTTCGGTTAGCTATCGTGCGACAATCTTTTAGACAGATGTGACCAAGCCCTTACTAGCTGACACGCTCTGTTTTTAAACTTTTAAAAAACTTTTTATTCTTTCACACATAAAGAAACACAAAATGAACCATCCAGCGTACAATACTCATGATAGTAACAGAGAAATTGATACAGAATATACTTGTAATAGTGATAATAAATTCTAAATAAATATTCAGGTATCTGTAGAACGTTTGATTATAACCATAATAAAATCAACGCAATTCAAATTCAAATGCTATTTAACAGAAATAGGAATTCTAAACTAATATGAAATGATGGCAACAAAATTCCAATATAACGATATGCTCTCATTTCAATTCTTTATTAAGATATCAAACATAACAGACAAACATGACATACAATGTTGCCTGAATGGCGTTGATATTTACAAGATAAAATGTCAAAAAATTATATGCTCTGTTTTTCACATAGGCGGCTGGGAACTACACGCTCCGGATCACAGACGGCAGCAAGATTGCCGAGTGGAGGTTCCGAGTGCCGGTGAACCCGTGGCGGAGTTCGGGGGACCCGGCCACCGAACCCTGCAGGCTCATCCCTCCGGTCGGGATATCACTGATGGATCAGTTCTGCGTCACCTGCGATGGTACGGAGTTTTATTTTTATTTTATCTTACTTATCTGAATTGCAGACATCGCAATACAATGGGTACCCGTAGCGACAGAGTGCTCGACTCGGAACCAAGAGGTCCCGGGTTCGAGTCCTGACATCTTGTTCCCTTAGGAAAGGCACTTTACACGACCTTGACTTTCCTCACTTCGCTCAGGTGAAAATGAGTATTGTATTGTCCCCTGTGTTGGTAATATAAGTTTGGTTAATATAAGTTGAAAAAAAACTTGAGTGTGCCGTCACCACGTCTTGGAATAAAAAAAAATGGGTTCCCTGGCAGTCATGGCTGATATCGGGCCCCACATGCATACAGACTGCGATGGTACGGTTTTTTTCCCTCCAAAACTAGAAATGTTCAAAACATTTAGTGATGGGATAGTAGGGCGGTTAGCCCACTGGGCACAGGATCGAGAGGTTGCGGGTTTGACTCCTTACTTCGGTTGGGGAGGTATAAAGTCTCTACCTTCCAATACCTCAAAAATTCTATGGCATTTTCAGGTAGTGTTGTGATCAGGACAATAGGCACATTTTATGTGAGATGCGAATGAAATTTGCTGTGTTGCATTCTTCAGGCGATTTCTGTAATAAAGAATGTTGGATTATTTGTGACCATGCACAGTTCCTCTGGTGAAAAATTTAAGTTTTTTTTCTGTTTTGATTCCCAGACTACGTGGATGAGTATGGACCTGTCCAAATGGAGATAAAGTACGAGTTTATACCGTCAGGAGTCCTCACACCAACAGTCGCGTTTCCTGGTGACGAGCCTCCAACAGTGATTGACTTTATCCTCAGCTTATTTACCGGCTGGGTAAGTCTACGATAATAGGTCCTGATGATGAGCAATAGAAGCCTGTCAGGAAATATATGTTCAGTGTAAAACCATAAATGTTGGTGATAGACTAGGCTCAGGATTTAAAATCTTTTATGTGGGGTCGTGTTGCGTAACAGCAGGGTGCCGGTCCCGGGTTCGAGTCCTGACATGCCACCGGCCTTGAGAAAGACACTTTACACGACTTTCCTCACTTAACTCAAGTGAAAATTAGTATTGTCCCGTCCTGCATTTGTCCTCTGCGTTGGTGGCGGCATAAAATAAGTTGATATAACTTGAGTGTGCCGTCACCATGTCTAGTCATGACATGTTGGAATATAATCGTTTGTGCTTCTAGTGGAGAAACACGAGAAGCATATATTTGATTTATCACCAATGACTTAAAACATGGTTGCACTAAGTTATCGGAAAACAATCACTCGTCACTTGTCCATCTTTCTAGGTCGGATACACGTATATGGTGGACATAGCACCAGGCACTGTCATCCTTATTCTGCGGGCGTTTAGCTTTGACGGCCGGTACACAGAGGTCCACCTAGCACCTATCGTGGTGAGTACAACCTTTACCAAATTTTAAAGTTAAAACTTTTGGTCCAACACAAAAATTCTCTCACCTAGAGCTTTCGACCAGTCACTCTGGTCTTCCTCAGTAGACTGACCCAGTGAGGCTTGTCACGTGCCTTCTTTGAAGCTGTAACTTTAAACATGTAACTACCAACACAGATGAACTTTCATGATACATGTAGTATAACCTTTATCAAATTTGTCATGAAAGTTCATCCGTGTTGGTAGTTACATGCCTTTGTTTAAAGTTAAAACTTCTGTTCCAACACAAAGAATTGTTCTCACCTAGAACTTTCGATCAGTCACTCTGGTCTTCTTCAAAAGACTGACCCAGTAAGACTTGCCTCTTGGCTTCTATGAAATGTGACGTCAACACTGGGTCATATTGCCGTTACTCTTGTATATACGGACGCTCATTTGTTGTTTTGTCATTGTCATACCTGTATTTTGTATTCTATGTCAGTGGTGTGATTAATATTAGCTTCGGCTAGAGTTTCCACCTCTGTGTCTTGTACCATGTCTTGTACTTTGTTGTTTCAATAAATAAAATTAAAAAAAAAAACACTGGGTCAAAGGTATCTGGTAAACGATGTCGGCCCCCGTCGCGGTTGAGGGATGGGTGAATGGCCGATTCTTACCCGCTTTCATATGATGTAACACAGTTACAGATCGAGTTGAAGTAAAGGCTCAAACAAACAAACAAACAAACAAACAAACAAACAAAATTAATATGATCACCAACACTGATGGAAAATGCATGTTTTGTATTTCAGATCTCTCCTCCTACCCTGGCCCAGTTGTCTGCGTACATGCTGGGTCTGTATGCTGACGGAGAGGGCACGTTCTACACCTCGCTCATGGTGGGTGCGACAGAGGACGCCTACCTTTCGGCCGTCACTGTTTCTGGCGTCATCGGCGTCCTAGCGGACAGCGGAGTGGACGTCCAAGAGGTGCGAAGACGCCAAATATCTAATACTTTAGATAACATATGCCATGAAAACAGTTACTCAAGCAACTGGATATGATTTATGAATTTGACTGTTCCCAAAATCATATCCAGATGCTTGAGTAACTTTTTTTTGGAGTATCTTATTACTATAGTACCTGGATGTATAACCTTCACCGACGTTTAAATAAGATAACTTATTACGAATTCCAAATTGCAAGTGTACAGCTGAAATAAATAACGGTTAAAGGAATAATAAACATAAAATCAACATAGAGTGGATTGAAACGCATCATTTGGAACCCAATAGATACCTAATCATATACCGAAAATCAAAGAAATTCATCAAGCGTACCACATTTGGCGATACTGCTACAACCTTGTTAAAGCCTCTTTTCACATGGTGTAGTCAGCCCCAATCCTTCCCTACTTATAATGTTGGTACACACATGTATATATCCAATAACACTAAATGTACCTATTCTTACCGCTAAGCATTGTGATGTATGTTTAATACCTTTACAGTTGATAACGGAGACTATTGAAAACATGAACCAAGTGCCTCTAGATGACATCGAGAGCGTGATGGGAGTCGCGTCTGTGCTGCTGCTTGTCACACCCTTCCCAGATCAACTGACGCCCGAATCCACGGTAATTCTTACCGTATTTTCTACTTTTCACCAGTGTTGATTAAGTTTGCTGCTATCTGCGTAAGATTTAACGATAGTTTGTAGTCTCCATGCAGATTCCCTCGGGTGTAAGGCAGTATCAAATTGGTCAGGCAGTATTCATTTGCCCTACAACATTTTTCCAGATCCCAGATGACTAACGTCACATTTATGTAATTTCCCTGTGTTTATTCTTGTATCCATAAAATGTAAAAAGGTAACGCAATTCAGGTGTACTATTGTATTGTGTATTGCTATGTTGATTGATTTCAATAAAACTAAAATTGAAGAACGGCTGACATTACAATCAATAATCATAGAGCGTACACGTATCTTACATAATTTCCGAGTCACATTCAAGACAATGATCATCGATGTTTTTTTTCCAAATAATCTTTATTGTAATTTCAAAGAATAAAGACAAAGGACAAGTTCACATACAAGAAAATAAATACCCAGAGACATTTTGCAAACAATACATCAGTCTTGATCATCGATGTTTGTGTTCAGGTCTCTGCTGCGTCTGCCCTCAAGTCAGCATTTGTGGCCCTCAGAGCGCTGTCAGGGGACAGTAGCGAACTGTCTGTCGGTGCTGTGAACAGAGCTGCCGGATCTATGTTCTCAGGTACACTGAATGACTGAGAGATTGAATGAAATATTGAACGAATGAATGAATGAATGAATGAATCAAGGAATGAATCAAGGAATCAAGGAATGAATCAAGGAATCAAGGAATGAATCAAGGAATCAAGGAATGAATCAAGGAATGAATAAATCAAGGAATGAATCAAGGAATGAATGAATCAAGGAATGAATGAATCAAGGAATAGGTAGGAGTATTAATAACAGTGAAATTCTAGTGTCATATTTTATCAATTATAACATAAAACATAATCTGGGAATTGTTTGCAAGAAAATCCAAAAGTAAGAATAATTGGAAAAAACAGGAATAACTTTAATGACCTGAGAATATATTTATATACATAAGAAATGCAATCAAAATTAATCATAATAACAAACCATAAATATAATAATTTTTACATGGTAAAGTCTCATGCACAAGTGCACATTTGTTCCCAGCGGTGGGGAATGTGTTCACGTCTTCCCAGACCAAGGCATTGGCAGAGCGAGAGGCAGGAATCAGCAACTCTGTCACTTTAGAAGCGGTACGTTCTTTTGATGATAATGGTTTATTTGCTCATACATACATACATACATACATGTACATAAACTAACATGTCAAACACATCTCGCAGCCCATAGGCTGAATTGGGGTGTTAACATTTACAAAACGAGGCTCAGGTTTTAAAAAGCTAGAATATCGGAATTTAAGACATAAAGGTAACAAGTCGTCATATCATGTATTAAAATAGAACTTAGAAATAAATCTCACATATTAAAAACAACTCTCAATACAAATGTAAAATGAAGGTTAATATATAAAGGACATGTAAACTCTAGCAAAAACGGTATGAGTTCTTCAAACTCAATAAGTCTTGGGCTTGTATAATGGTCCCTTTTTAAATTAATATAAAATTGATTTTCCAAACTGTGCCGCATGCAGAGAGAGTATGGCAAGCAAAAATTGTCACTGTCAAAAATAGTGAATGCTATTTGAAACGTCTGATAGTTTTAAAAATGTATCCAGTTGCTATAATAGTAAATTGCTGTTATTACCTGAATGTATAACATTTATCGACGAATACAAAATTAAAAAGTTGTATTGTTGTAATTTAGCAAATAAAATCCAACACTCTACACTAAGTGTTGGCTGCTCTATTGTTTTTTTTCTTTAGTAATGTGTTTCTCATGATCTTACAGAGCAAGAATGCCACAACTATCGGGTTCGAAGGGCTTGACGTGCTTGATGACATCATGCTGAACGCCTTGATGCCTGAGTTCAATGAGACAAAAGATCAGGAGATGTTTGCGGATTTTTACACCTCACAGGTGTGTGTGTGTGGGGGGGGGGTATACAGTTGCCATCAAATTTACCAAAAAGATTCTGCCTCATGCAATCTTACTGTACTATAACTAAGAAATAAACACGTACATTTACCTTCGTAGAAAGGAAACATTGTTTTGCTCCGTTTCCGTCCCTTCTTCTTCTCCAAACAAGGTCAATGACCTGGACCAGACGGCTGTCACCATAGTAACTGGTGCTGTAGCAGACACCTGTTACCTATTAGATCACACAGATCCGTGCAAACTTTTACGTTTGACATTTTAAAAGTCCCGGCCTATGTATTCAAGAATAATCTTGTATAATGGTCTCAACAATAATCTTGCAGATTGAAGAAAAGTAAGTCCGATAATCATGAATCTTAATATTTGTAATCGTCTATTGCCAGGTGCATATCAGGATTCAGCGACAAAACCGGACCATCCGAGAAGAGCGGGTGTACCAGGTAGGCGGAGTGAGTGACTGTCTCATACGGGTGCCGTCTCTCCCGCCACTCATCGGAAATCAGTGCCCTCCTGGAGAAACCGTTGGAGTACAGGTGACTATGCTTAGCCTGCACTTGTGAAAAAGCAACAAGACATCCATACTCTTTCGTTAAACTAGATTTTACTGCCCGTTCTTTAACAATCAAATATCACAAACTATTTGCATTTTGCATATTGTATGTATCAATATTGCCCATGCCATTATTCCAGTAGTATTAGTTAGATTTTAGGCCTTCCTTCTATTTTCATTTTTCCTATAGTCCTTGTGCATTTCCTGCTCTCAATAAATAAGTAAATAAATGAAACGAAATAAAAATAAATAACATATAAAAGAAATAAATGAAAGAAATTTCTCTGACATTTTAGTGTGATAGTACATTGGTTGGTTGCTTGATTCATTTATTGATTGATTGATTGATTGATTATGAATTCCCTTCACCACAGTTCTATGAGTCCAATTTCAACCCGTTCGAGTACTCCAACAATTCCAATGAGGTCCAGAGCGACATCCCCGGGCTGAGTGTGAAATGTGGAAACCAAACACTTCAAGTTTCCGACCTGGGAGAGCCGATAGACATCCTCACTCGGAGAGAGAACACAAGCTTGGACGACTTCATGTTCATCTTCAAACGCGCCGCACCACTCGGAGAACTATCGGTACGTCAATTCTACTTGGAATGTTTTCTCCTTAAAATGATTTTAACAACAAATCTATTTCAGTATCAGGCTTTAAGTGTTAAGTAACTTGGGTGTTGTGGTCTTCGTCATTTCGCCTCATCAAGCAGAAGAGGGCTTCTCGTGAATCTATTGTAACAACCGAGTAGACTGAATAGCAGTGCTATTTTCTCAGTATGGCTCTTTGGCCTCCTGCTATTCTGCCTGCCAATCTTCCACCAACTTGGCCGGACACAAAACACACAAACCCACAACACAGTCACTCAAAACAATACGTCCGTATCCGTGTTGAAAGGAAAAAATACAGGGTCATATCATTAGGAATCAGGACGACTCGGACCATTACCAACTCGGCCCATCGCTAATCTGGTCATATCAATGCTGTCGGCAATAATCTAATTTTCCCTTCTTGTTTCTGTTCACAGACGTTCCTGTTCTTCGCCAAGACGAGCAGATCGTCTTTCGGGATCCTTGTAGAGTTCAACAGTACCCTCTTCCCCCAACCTGTCACATTGGTCCTGAGCAAACACGTGCAACCTACAACAGACCAGTACAACTGGACAGCTACACTGCCTGTGCCGGATGACCAACTGTTCTCTATAAAGTGGGTAAACGGCACGTACCTGACTGCCGACCCTTACTTGTGGCACCTTTCGGAGGATGAGATGGACATCACTGACGGAGACGTAGAGAACATGACCAAGTACTACGTCGGTACGTTACTGTGTATAAAATAACTCTATACTGTGTAAAAAAATTATTCCATTTTTCTTTGTACGTGAAGATACTATGTTTGTCAGTTTGTGTTTCTGTATACTTTTGGTCTGTAATAACTCAAAAAGTTATAGATTGGTTGTTATGGGATTTGGTCTTTTTTGGTATTGTGGATTGGTCGTAGGAAGACAAAGGGCAATGTTGACTTTGGGCCTCCCAGTGGCTTCTATTGTTTTACATGAAAACAAATTAGACAATGCTTTCACATTAAAAGAAGTACATTGTAGTTCATCTGACGTGAATGTGGCACTAAAATATAAAAGAAACATATTTCTCTCAAGCAGATTAAATTGGAAGAAGACCAAAGAAAGTCTCGTCATATTTTGCACATGTGTTTCGTAACAGGAGTCCAGTTTGGCTCGGATCTGGACGTAGGAAGTGGAGTGGTTGTCAACTTTACACTGTCCGTATTCGAGACGACCTGCGTTTACTTCGCTGAGGAGCCTGTCCATCTGTGGCAAGGCGACGGCTGCAGTGTAAGTACCCACCAACTGCGAGGATAATTTTATATTCTAGACGTTTGTCATTTTCACACCAAGGTTGAATGCATTGCAAACTATTCCATCTTACATTGCATATATTTCATTCTTGCTGTATTTCTTTTTATTATCTTTATATTACTATTTGCACTTATTAGTAGTATTGTAGTATTTAAGTTGTAGTATTAGTAGTTGTAGTATCAGTGAATGAGCATTGCGGAGATTTTAGGTTTTCTTTATATTTCCTTCTTCTTTTCTCATTGTGCATTTTCTAAGTAGCAGGCAAGGTAGAGAAACTGAGTTTCTGTTGCCTACTCCTTACAGTTTCCCTGTTCTTTTTAAATCTGTGAAGTCGAATAAAATAAAAGAATAAAACATCTTCCATTTTTTTTTAAATTTTCGTACCTTGATTTCCAGACTGGAGTGATGTCCAACCTGACACACATGCACTGTCGGTGCGACCATCTCACCAAGTTCTCCGGCTTCGTGGCGCCCAACCCGCTCAACATCCAGGAGGCCCTCTCTGCCAACATCTTAGAGAACCCCGCGGGACTCATCTTGGTACTGGCGGTGTTCGGGTCATACCTGCTTCTCCTCCTGTTTACAAGGAAGGCAGATAGAAAGGATCTAACCAAGGTAAAACGTATTTGACTAGTCATAGATTCGTCAGAAGGATTACGGATGAGACTAACCAGTAACAGCTTACCGGTTTTTATTACAAAGTCTTCACCAGAAATCTATAGTGTATAAAGTATTGCACTAGTACGAATCGAACAATACGCCACAGACCACTGGCTATCTGTGTATCCCTCGTTGTCTTTCATTCACAGTTAGCTAGTTAATAGATAAAGCTGTGTGATAAAGCTATATATGGTTACTAACGAAACTTTTCTTTCTATCTAGGTTGGTGTCGGGATTCTACCAGGTCACAGACTGAATCCCCGCAAAGACTGCCAGTATGTGATCACAGTGTACACGGGCTTCAAAGGCAATGCCGGAACAACCGCAGAGGTAGGATCTCTTCAGATGCACCTGAAACATTTTGTCATGAGGGTTAATTAATCTGTACATTGTCCATGTGTTCTTCTCAGACTCAATTACATGTGTGTATCTGATGTATCTACATCAAGTAAGAAAAATTGCAGATTTGTTTTATGTATCCATTTCTTTAGCTGACACATATAGCCAAGATTGCCAAGGTTGCCCAAGTAGCCAAGGTTGCACAAGGTTGCCCGAGTTGTGAACATTGGGAGATATAGGTACAATATGGCGTACATAATTAGTAGGTTCCTATGCCTAAGTTGAGAATACAATCATTGATACATCATGACATATTTGTCGTCATGTATCGCAGATTACAATCGTCCTGAACGGGTTTAAGGAGTGCAGTCCGCCCATCACACTCAGGGACCCCAAGAGGTTTCTGTTCGAACAGGGCAGCGTGGATTCTTTCCTGGTGTCCACAGAACAGCCGCTGGGAGGTCTGACCCACGTGAACGTGTTTCACAACAACGCTGGGTACAGCCCATCATGGTGAGGCTGGAGATATACCCTGTTCTAATGTTTCTTAGATTTTAGTGTTTTACACACTGTAGACCACACGTCGTCATTTTCGACTTTGCTCTTCAAGGCATGGATATGCACTAAAGATTATCATAAATATCCGCCCTATACATGTATCTTTCATGTAATTGCTTTAATCTTTTATCACAAAACACATATTTGAGAAGAAACGAAGCAAACAATAACAGAATGACTTATTGCATTATTTTCAATAACAGGTTCCTTAACCAGATCATTGTAGTCAACAGAGGGACCAATGAAACAACATATTTCCTCTCTAACAGGTAAGCCAAGGAAGACTTTCTGTATCTTGAATTTCGTGAACAAAAACGCCCCATAATTTTGGTTAAAGGGAAATATAGTTTGTGTCACGGCCACAGTAACCAAACAAACCTAAAGGGAGAAGTTGTTAAAATCCTCTGTATTGTAGACCTTTGTGTCTTATTGCGCTTTTTTTTATCTTGTCTTCTCTTAACTTCAAATATGTGTGCATTTCAGGTGGTTTTCTATCGATGAAGATGACGGAAAGATCGACCGCATCATCCCATCAGCGTCGCTGGAAGAAATGACGGAGTTCCGCAACGTTTTCCTGGCCAAGAGCTCCAGGTAATCACACTCACTCCCTCACCGGGTCGAGCTTCCCACGGTTCCAATGACAGCTCTCCATCTGTTCCTATCCTTCATTTCTACCATTGATATAGTTCCTTACTGGACGACCTCGACTTCTTTTTCCATGTGTGGGTTCCCATAGTAATAACTGGTGTATGATTTCATCCTCACTTCTGTAGCAGTGTCCGATGAACCTCGTTTTCTCATTGTTATTTAGGTAATCACCGGCATCGAAAGCATGAAAGGAACACATATAATGGACAAACGACAGTATGAGTGATGTTATCATTATGTTTATTTTAGCAGAAGGAAAACATGTTGTTTTTGCCTAGTTTCTTCTTCTTCTTTAAACGCATTTATAAAGTCAATGGCCTAGACCAGACGGCTGTCACCTTGGTAACTTGTGCTGTAACAGACACCGTGTGGTGTTGGATTACATTATGTAGCAAGTTGGTCGGATTGGTCGCCATATGTATGAATTGTTTTAGTAAGAATAAACAGAGCAGTAGGTTGTCGGGTCTAGACCATAAAGGTAAAGATAATGCTTTTGCTTTGCAAATGTCACATTTCTAGTAACTGTTATGTTCTTCTGTGGTATTTGATATTTGAAAACCTATGTCTGCTATTTCCTGTTGTAAAGTGAATGGTGTTTTATATTTATATTTATATTTTACATATTTGTATATAGTGTGTTTCTGTGTAACTGTCCTGTTTTGTTTTAACCAATTGTAAAAATCGAATACACAATTCAGGGGTGCATTAGCATTCCCTGCTTTTGTACGATTTTGTTGGATTGAATAAATTGAAATTGAATTCAATACTAATTGATACTAACCGATGCCGATCAGGGACATGAGTGACGGCCACCTGTGGTTCTCCATTGCCGGCCGCCCTGCCCGGAGTCCCTTCACCCGAGTCCAGCGCCTGTCCTGCTGCCTGACGCTGCTCTACAGCACCATGGTCACCAACATCATGTTCTTCGGCCGCGGGGACGACTTCGACCCGCCGGAGCCGCTCAGGATTGCCGGTGTGGAGATCGACCCTCCAATATCTCTCCCTCAGGTACGGAACAACGCGCAATTATTACATATTCCAAAATTGGCCTTAAATTTAAAATGCTTACTAGTATTCTAAGAAAATCTCATTTTTTGCTTGTTTCGCATAACCTGTAAACCACCTTTCGACGTAACGCACCAGTGAGGTTTGTACAGTAAGTACAATCTGCGTAATACAAGGCCATAAGGTTTGATTGCTAGCAAACGACCATGTACACAATACTTGTTTTTGCTTTCTCAGTTGATGATCAGCATACAGAGTGCAGCTATCATCCTTCCTGTCAACCTTCTCATCGTCTTCTTCTTCCGCAACTCTGGTAAGAGACCCAAAACAAACGCCAGAAGCAAGAACGCGGAATCCAAAACAATTGACGGTAGCGTTAACTATTCCAAGAACACTCCAAGGAGCAAGGAAGCTCTTCCTCCGAATATCCGAAGCACACCCTCCGATTATTGTCCGACCAACAGACCGACCGTTGGTTTGAAGATCAGGAGAGAGGACGCTGTGCGACCGGCAGTGGAAGTTCCTGACGAGAAAGATGTTTCTGAGAAGTCGACTATTCCTTGGTGGACTGTGTACTTTGGTGAGTAGCAAATCTTGGACTGACTGGATTGGATCAATTCAAATCAAAGCCTTACACGAAACATCCGCCAAATGTTGACCATTCACTCTACAAACCATCCTTATTTTTGTTCTAATTAGTTAATTTGTCTACCTGGCACATTGATCTTCACATAAGTACAACCGGATATATTGCAGGTTGGCTGCTTGTGTGGTCGGCGAGTTTCGTGGCGGCGTTCTTCACAGTTCTCTACACGTTAAGTTTCGGCAGGGCGAAGGCAGAGGCCTGGGTTTTCACCTTCGTCACGTCATTCTTCACCGACCTGTTCCTGGTGCAGCCCTTCAAACTCATGCTGGTCGCCATGCTGTTTGCTTTGTTGGTCAGGGTAAGATATTAGAGCTACAGTTTTTTTTCTGTGATTCGAGAACAGTGTATAACATGCATTTAAAAAGGTACAAGATGGCTGGTACTTTGTGTCCGATGATTTTAGGAAGGCTGTCCTCTGCAGGCCCTCATGTGGTTGTACAGCACGATCCTTGACCTGTAAGTCCTATGGCAGGATGGGCATGAGAAACTGTACATAGTAAAAAAGAACATATCAGCTCTTAATTAATACAATCCGGTTTATCTGAATGATATATTAATGGCATACATGTAAGCAAGGGCGTCATAGATGTCAGTAATAACAGATTCCAATAAAAGCAATAACAATCAAACCCTACAAAAAGAAAACGTAGTAACTAATTTATAGTTGATCGGACAGTTGTTGCTTGTACTTCAATTTTACTTTGACACTGCAATTAGCCTTCGGGCATGATTTTGGAAATGAAAAAATTAATAAACATTAACGATGAACAGCTCTTCTGTATGTTTGTTGAACTTAGAAACCCGTGGAGGACGAAAATCCGCAACCCGCGCCGGTGGAAGAGGATGAGGAGTATCTACAGACCGATGTTGAGGAGGTAATATATTATCGTGCATATATCTGCTATTGTTCCTAGTTTAAGTTTTAATTCTTCATTCTTTGAGACACACACACAGAGAGAGAGAGAGAGAGAGAGAGAGAGAGATCTAGAGAGATA